CAATCTTGAAATTCAATTCCTCAGCTGGGTCTTATTTTTCTACTACTATCCCATCCCCCAAGCAACCAGGCTCAAAATTGGTAAAGAATCACTGCCTGTAATAGCTTGTATTGTGATTTGGATATGAAGTGTCCCCCAGAGCTCCTGCATTGATGCAGAAATGTTTGGAAGTAAATTATGAGATTGTGACAGCTGTGACCTAATCAGTTATCCCAGTGTGAATGGACTGACTGGGTGATAACTGTAGACATGTGGCATGTGGCTGATGGAGGTGGTCACTGGAGGCGTACCCCGGAAGGGATCACCTTCCCTCCTGCCCCTTACACACCTCTCTCTCTCTCTCTCTCTCTCTCTCTCTCTCTCCCCCCCCCCTCTTTCCTAGCTGCCATGAGCTAGGAGCTCTTCTCTGCCACACCCTTCTTCCATGGTGTGCTGCCTCTTCTTGGGCCCAGAGCAATGGAATCAACCCACCATACACTAAACTTCTGAAACCATGAGCCAAAATAGTTGTTCCTGTCAGGTATTTGGGTCACAGCAACCAACGCCTAACACAATCTGCATCTGGAATGTCCCCCAAAGACTCATGTGAGGAAGACCTGGTCTCCCATTGGTGGAAATCTTAGGATGTGGGGCCCCAATGGAGGTGACTGGAGGCATGTCCCTGAAGGTTGTATCTTGCCCCTGGCCCCTTCCTCAATTTCTCTTTGCTTCCCAGCTGCTATGAGGTGAGCAGCTCTGCTCTACCATGTGCTGTCCACCATGATCCTCTGCCTTTCCAGAGGTCTAAAGCCATGGGGCCAAGTGACCTGGGACTGAGACCTTCAAATCCACAAGCCAAAATAAATCTTGCCTCACTTTTTATCAGGTATCATCATGTTTGCCTCACATTTATCTCAGGTATTTTTTACTGGTGCGTATTATTTATATAGAATGGTTGACTTCATTGTGGCATATTTTTAATAGACATAAAAACATAATTTGATTAATTTTTCTCCCTAACACCTCCCTACCTCCTTTGACACAGTGATGGAAAGCTGACTAACACACTACCTGAGCCAGGCCCAGTAACACTTGCTAGTAACCCTAACTCCTCAGGAGGCTGAAGCAGAAAGATCATGAGTTCAAGATCAGCCTGAGCAAGATAGAACACCTGTTATGGTTTAGATATTAGGTAATCTCCCACCCCCCACCCACCCCCCCAAAAAAAAAAAAACTCATGTGTGAGACAATGCAAGAAATTTTAGAGGTGAAGTGATTGGGTTAGGAGAGTTTTAACCTAATCAGTGTATTAATCCCCTGACAGAAATTAACTGGGTGGCAACTACAGGCAGGTAGGGTATGGCTGGAGGAGGTGGATCATTGGGCACATCTTTACGGTATATATTGTCCTTGATAAGAGGACAGCTCTCTCAACACTCCCTTCCCACTCCCTCATTTTCTCTCCCGTCCTAGTACCACATCCTGAAATGCTTTCCTCTGCCACACCCTTCCGCCATGACCTCAGACCCAGGTCTCTCATGGACTAAGACCTCTAAAACCATGAGAATCAAATCAACCTTTCCTCTTCTAAAATTGTTCTTGTCAGGTCTTTTGGTTACAACAGAGAAAAAGGGAGAAGAGAAGAAAGGAGGGGGTAGGGGAGAGGCAGACAGGCCATCTGACCAGTGGGTATCCTACCAGTGGATGAATGGTAAGACAGAGCTTCACCCAGGCTGAGCTCTTGCTCTTTGCTATCTCTGTTCACTTAGATAGTTGAACTTCACTTCTCAGATCTCCTCTTATAAATTAAAGCCATTGGAGAATCATAAAATACCAGAACTAACCTGGCAATCATTGTTAAGTACCACATTGATTCAGCAAGGGTCCAACATTACTTGCATTTATTTTCTGAAGTGGTCTGATAATATGTATACTACAGTGAGATTGGTTTGTTTGTTTTAAAATTCTTTTATTTATTGATGGACCTTTATTTTATTCATTTATTCATATGTGGTGCTCAGAAACGAACCCAGTGCCTCACACGTGCTAGGCAAGCGCTCTACCTCTGAGCTGTGAGATATTTTTTTTTAGAAGAAAAAAAGGTCAGGAAGAGTAAGATAAAGCCAAGGGAAGACTCAACACAGAAATAAGTTTCCTGTGCTCCTGTTTACTTTCAAAGGTAGGGTAAATTCAGCTTTGAGGTTCCTAGAAACCAAAGCAAAAACTATCAAAGCAAAAGCTTATTGGTTGATCAAGAAAATACAGCTCTTCCTGATATTAAAATCCAACAGAAACTGATGTAGAAGACTTGGTGCTCAAACCCCCCAACGATGATTATGCCAGGGAACTATTTCCCGCAGCACCCTTTCACACAGAAGGGTTCCAGTTATCTATAGCTGCACAGAAACCTCAAAATAGCGGCTTGAAATGATAACAATTATTCATTGTTATCTCAATGGGAATTGACCCTACTCAGCTAAGCAGTTCTCCCCTAGGGTTTCTTACAGTGCTGCAGTCAGATGGTAACTGGGTCTGGAATAATATGGAACCCAAGCCTGGAAGCCTCAAACAGCTGGAGCTGGAACAACTGGTCCTCTCCTGCTATCTCCAGTGGCCACTCCACGTGCCTCTAGCCTGGTAGCATAGAGCTGCAGAGGTTGTACATGGCTGCTCAGGCTGAGAGGGAGAGAGCCGGGCAGGCTTTATCACTTTTTATGAGCTAGCCTCAAAAGTCACACAGCATCACTTCTGCCACATTCTATTTACTAGAAACAGCCTCGAAGACGTACCTATATTCAAAGGAAGTGCAACTAGTCTCCATTTTTTCATGGAGGAGTGTCCAAGAATGTGAGAATGTGTTTTAAAACCACCATTAATGATAAAAAGAGAAACCTGCAATTCACTAGGAATAAGCACTATTCCTTGTTTTTATTCGTTTGCTTGTTTGTTTGTTTGGGTATTGAGTATGAAATCCAGGGGCATTGAGCAACATCACCAGTCCTTTTATTTTTTTTATTTTGAGGCAGGGTCTTGCTAAGTTGCCCGAGCTAGCCTTGAAGTTGTGATCCTTCTGCCTCAACCTCCAGAGTCACTGAGATTACAGGCACTCACCCACGCAACTGGCAGCACCATTCTTTTGAAAACCAAAGAAGGGATTGTCTAACTGGATCCAGGGATAAAACTTAGAATATGTAAAGTTTTGCTGTCAAAAATGGTCTCCACTACTATAAAAGGCTATTTAAACGTCAATTAATTAGTTAGAATTAATTAAATAGAATTTAATTTTAAAATAATTAAAAATTTTCAAATAAAGAAATAATTTAAATATTGTTCTAATAGCCACATTTCATATGCCCTATAGCCATACATAGCCAGTGACTACTCTTTTGGTTAACACAATTACAGAACATTTCCACCATCACAGAAAATTCTATTGGACAATGCTGCCCTAGAATAACAAAAGAACAATATTTCCCTTAGGTATCAATCAGAATGGCTTCCCCCTCTAAGATTTTAGGCATCTAGATATGGTGGCATACCCGTGACATCTCAGCGCTTCAGGAAGCTAAGACATAGGATTCCAAGTTCAAGGCCAGCCTGGGCAACTTAGACCCTGTCTCAAAATAAAAAAAAATTAAAAAGGGTAGGGATGTAGCTCAGTAGTAGAGCACACTTAAATTTAATCTCCAGTATCACAAATTTGAAAAAAAAAAAAGATTTTAATAGGTATTGGGCGGCCGACATGTTCAAATGTTAATATTTCGACATGTTCAAATGTTAATATTTGACAAAGAGTACAAACTGCATGACATCCATGTTGCTAAGGAAGGATAGTTAATACAAATTAAAAACCAGCCCATCAGGAGTAGGTTTGCCTCCTCTAAAGAAAATGAAGGCTTCTAACCAAGACCCAAATAGCTGGTCTCCCTCCTCCAGGTGGAGGTCTTCAACAGAAGGTCTGCCAGCAAGACCAAGGCTTCCCTTCAGACAGCTGCCTGAAAACTCTGCCCTCCAAAGAGCTGTGAGGAAAAACTGAATCAAAGCTACAAAGTTCATCCGTCATGCTTTCATTAAGTCAACACTTACTAACAAAGTACAAATGCTGTATGTTTTGATCCGAATTTAAAAAAAATTTTTTTTGAATAGATTTTACTAATCCCCCTGACAAAGAGCATTTGTGAAATTGTATTCCAGCACCTCTAAGAAGTCACAAGCTATTCTGAGTAGGTTTGGGGGCTGACACTACGGGAAAACTGCATGGGTATACCACTCATGTTTCTCCTAGATAAGACACTATACCTATGCTCTCAAAGCTTGCTGAATCCAAGTTCTCCTAAAGGTGAATGCAGTTCTACAAGGGGTTTATAAAAAAAAATGCCTTGCTCATTTGCCTTTATCCTGCCAAGAAAGGGTTTCTGATTCTTGATAAGTTGAGTTGCCTCGTTGCAGAGATCACAAATAAAATAAGATCAAAACAAAACTTAAAAAAAAAACATCTAGCTGGTGAGTTCATGAGAGTCTTCTTTTATTGTCTGATATTGAATAAATCAGCCTGAGTGGTATATTCACTCCAAAATGGAAACTCAGCCCCTGTAGTTTCTGAGTAGCCATCCAAGAATCATTGCAATTTGCTCTCCTGTTGCCTTTTTGCTCCCAAGCCATGCACACAGGTGGTTGTGATGAAAATATATCCACAGTACAGTTATGATTCTCATTCAAGATTCAATAGGATGCTAGGATGCTGCACTAATGGTATAAAATCCTGCACTTTGGATTTTACAATTATGGATGCTATGGTTCTCATAGACCAAACAGATGCTGGATTATAAAAAGCAAAGTCTAGTCAGGAATGTGCATCCTAAATCACTTAATCACTTCCCAGTGCACTCAAGAAATGTCCCGGTTTTTTTTGTTTGTTTGTTTTTTCTTTTGGATAATAGATTGTGAACTCAGGGGCAGTTTACCACTGAGCTACATCCCCAGACATTTTATTGTTGTTGTTGCTGTTTATTTTGAGACAGGGTCTCATGAAGTTGCCCAAACTGGCCTCAAACTTGCAATCCTCCTGCATCAGCCTCCTGAGTAGCTGGATTTACAGGTATGTGCTACCACACTTGGCAAGAAATGCCTATTTTTAAGTGTCATCCTTTTCTGTGAAACTATCAAAGAAAAATTGTTGCAAAATGTACCCCTAAGCAGCTGAAAGAGTTATCTGGCTATATATAATCATTACATATAAGCCAATTTAATTGCAAATATTATCTGCCAAAACTGACGATTGGGGATTTAGAAAGTTTGAATTCAAGCCACTCTATTTTCTAGTAACATAAAGAGGACATTTTTGGTTAGTGACAATAAAATCATATCACCAGCATAGAGAATAGTTATTTTTGTACTTCTTAGAATAGGGGTGCATGTAGCTAGCTCATGAACAAATTGTTTTAAATCATTAAGATACAATTTTAAAAGAACTGGAAGAAGCAGAGACAGAACACGGTTCAGCTTTGTAAAGACTAGAATTATTATCTGATCCATTGTCAGACCATTCCCAGGAATGCTCCTTGGGGTCTTAAGTTCAGAGAGTGCATAAGCATTAGTTACCCAATCTTGTATCCAGGCTGCATTAATACTCAGCTTTACCCTCCCAGTTCAATTTCTGGCATTCTTCAGCTTGCTCTGAGTCTCAGGAGGCTGACTTACAGGAGATACATCAATAAGATCCCTTGCCCTCTCCTTTCTAGAGGAATTCAGCCTATGGGAGGCACCAATGCAAGATTAGAGGATGGGAAGTAGAAGGTTAAAGTCCCTGTCCCTCCAGCTCTCTCCCTGCCAGGCTACCATGTTTAGCTGCACTCTTTAACCAAAGGGCATAGCTCAAGTCTGACAGCATTCCTCCTAGAGTTACACTCTCTGGATTCCAGGAATCCTTCACTTCCTTTGATCACTTGGGGCTGGTAGGTTTGCAGTGTCTTCCTGCTATGGTTGGCCCAAAGTACTACTTTTTTTCCCACCCTACCTATACCTTTGTATATTATTCCTTTGATTAAGCTATTCTGTTTGTATGAACTATTTCCTGACAAGCTCTGATGACACACCAGTTCATTACTTGTTACCATGCACAAAGACCAAAGAAAGATCTGTTAAATTTATACACAGTCTCAGATTTCCTGATTTTTCCAACACAGCATAGAGTCGAACATAATCAAGAAAATAATTGTGTACCTAAATCCAGCCTGTACCTCATAGAAAATATTAGTCAAAAAAAGATGTAGAACTATTGTTTATAGAAGCATTGAAATGAAAAGTCCACCAAAATGATGACTCTATGATTTGATAGAGCAATACTGCCCTTTAGAAAAAGCAAGAGCCAGGGCCTGGAAGTGTAGCTGAGCGCTTGCTTGGCATGTGCAAGTTCCTGGTTTCCATCCCTGGCAAAATTAAGAATAAACAAATTAACCACCGATTAGTTCAGAACTTAAGCAGTCCTGGCTGTAAGAAGTCTTTACTAGGTGCTTTTTGATCAGTAGTACTACATGAGGAAGTAACATCAGGACCCCCTCAGCAAACAGTCTTGTTATCCCAAAGACTGATGTGGCTGTTCTTGAGTTAAAGGCCCTGAAGCAGCCCTTCCGCCTACCGCCATGTTGCAGGAAATGAATGAAATCCTTGAAGTCAAGCAGACCTGCTTCCGAATCTCTAAGTCAAAAACCATTTATAAAGTGGAAGAAATAATATTTCCAATGTAAGGCAGTTGTGAGGATTTAAATAAATAAATACGTATAAAATACCTAGCCCAGTGACAGATTCATCAAAATCACTAACAAATGGAAGTTCAAACAGGAAACCCAACCGGAGGAAACCAAAGACTTCCATCCTAGACCACCAGAAAATCAGCGAGGACATCAGGGGCAAAGAGTACATTGATAAAGGGCCCCTCCAGAGTCCCATTGGTCGTCCACACTTTGAGAGTGTTAATAATGGATGGATTCACTTCTCAATTCCCTTCTGAAAGGAATAGTCACCTAAGGGAAATTTCTTATTCTCTGTCCTGGAATATCTCCAACTTTTCTTCTTCTCCGAGCATTTTATGTTTCAGGGCTAATTAACACTTCTCCCAATGCACCAGAGTGATCATTTCTGGCTATTACAAACTAGCTGGGAGGTCGGCGCTATTCAAATGGGCACAGACTAAAACAGGCACCTCACTGGCACCCATGATGCCTTCCGGCTGGCCACAAGCTCCTCTTGCACCCAGTTCTGGAAATTTCCTTAGTGCAGTGCCCAACTGGGTCCTCTGCTTCCTCTTTTGAGATTGCCCCACCTGAGTGAAAAACATTGCCTTTGCCCACTCGGCCACGTCAGAGACGGGAAGTTAAGATCACCATTTCCTCACCAAAGTGACATCTTCCTTTCTATGGCTTGGGTTATGCCAACGTGGTAGTCAGCTTTGCATCTCTGCAACCCAAGATCCTGAGAAGAACAAAGCAAAGGAGGGAAGATGTATGATGGCTTACAGTTTCAGAGCTTTCAGTTGGTGGTCTGCTGGCTCCTTACTTTGGGCCTGCTGTGGGGCAGAACATCATGGCAGAAGGTATGCTGGAGGAAAGCTTTCCAGTTCATCGCAGCCAGGAAGGAGAGAGGGAGGGAGCAGGGACAAGATTTAGTCCCTCAGAACACACCCCACTGATGAGGTCAGAGCCCTCATGATCCAATCACTTCCCAAAATCCCTGCCTCTGAACATGGCTATATTGGGGACCAAACCATTAACACATTGGCTTTTGGTGGACATTCCAGATCCACATCATAACAGCCAGGGACATGTCACTGATGCTACTTCTGGATAGAATTCATATTTTAACAAAAAATTTATAAAACAAGATTCTTCAGTAGGACTATGAGGAAATGAGACTGAGGACGAATTCTTTGGGCAAGTATTCCAAAGACTGAAACAGGATACAATGTATTTATAAGACAAAACACACACACACACACACACACACACACAGAGGTGAGAGGCCCAAAGACAAATCAAGGCAGAATTTTTGCCCTCTCTCTGGATTTGGTTTACTGGTCCCTAACCCTGTGATCATGGGCCCAGTTTTCAACTGATCCTGAACTTGCTGTTCCATGGAGCCTCAAGACCAATGTCCCGATGGACTCTTCCATGAAATGTTGCTTGGTGAACCGAGCAAACTCAAGTAGAAAGAGATCAATACACGGAGAACAATGACTGTGTACCAGGGATTGCACAGCGTGTTTTTACACATTCTGTCAGTTAATCCTAATAGTAACCCCATAAAAATAGACAATGTAAGCCCCATTTCGCAATTAGAAAAACAAGGACTTGAGAAGTTAGGTGACTTGCTCAAAATTGACTTGTAGAATGAGAACTTGCCCCATGTCTCCTGTTTCCTAGTCTGATCTCATTCTATTCTACCACACATTCATCGGAGATTTTTCCATTATTTAGCTCTAGGACCCTCTAACACATTCTTTACTCCTCTATCAATTATTCATCATTTACACAAAGCTGTTAAAAGACAGGGAATTTCAGTCATCCAGATACCCAAGTGTACAGCAGCCCCTATTCTCCCATTTATTAGATATAAATAGATGCTTGACAGTGGACAGCTAAATCTGTTGCATAATAAACTACCCCAAAACTAATGGCTTAAAACAATTTTTTTTATATATATTAGGGATTGAACACAGGGGCACTGAAGCACTGAGCCACATCCCCAGCTCTTTTTTTTTTTTTTTTTTTTAAGAGATGGGCTCTTGCTGAATAGCTTCACTAAGTTGCTGAGGCTGGCTTTGAACTTGCAATCCTATTTTCCCCCTGCCTCAGCCTCCAGAGCTGCTGGGATTATAGGCAAGCTCCGCTGCACCCAGCTAAAACAACATTTTATTGTCTCATGATGCTTTGGGTCATTTGGGCCATCTTTCCCTTGATCTTGCATGAGCCCATACACAAAGCTATGTGTAGCTCATGACAAGGTTAAACAGGAACAGCTTGAAGCAACAGAGTCTCTCTCTCCATGTGGTCTTTCCTAACAGGCTTTTCATATTAGGTGATCTCAAGGCCACTTGCAAGAGGACAAGCCCCAAGTACAAGCATTTTTCAGTCTTTGGCTTCTCTCACATGTGCAGTCACTGACTACAGCAAGTCTCACAACCAAACCTAGATTCAGCCCCTCTGTTCAATCCCAAAAATAAATAAATAAAAAATAATGGGGTTGGGTTGTGGCTGAGCGGTAGAGCACTCGCTTTGCATGTGTGCGGCCCTCAGTTTGATCCTTAGCACCACATAAAAAATAAAATGAAGGTATTTTAAAAAAATTTCCCTTTTAAAATAAATAATAAAAACAGATTGTATTTGCAGCTAGGTCATTTTCTCAGCTTACTTCCTCTTTGAATTTTGAATCTCCCTGTGCACCATTTAGTCTAAACCGATCCAATTACCTTATAAACTTGGTGGGTTTTCTACATACCAGGTTATAGCCCACTACATTAAACAAAAGCTATACCCACAATCATTTCTAAGACAAGCCTCTGCTTCGTCAGCATGTCAAGGTGCTATGCAAAAAATACTCTTTAAATTCTTAGAAGCCCTTTTGTGTATCAAGGGGAGACTAGTGGATATCAGTTTAAGTCCTTCTGGAGTAGTAACAGAGTCTTTTTGCCAGAGCAGTGATGTGATTTGTACCCTGAAAATATTTCTTCTCCCCGCCCCAGTACTGGTATGATCCATTAGGGTCATTGCTTTAATAATCTGTTACAGTACTGGGGATTGAATTGAACCCAGGGCACTCCACCACTGAGTTACTTCCCCAACCCTTTTTATTTTTATTTTGAGATACAGTCTCCCTATTTTGCTGAGGCTGGCCTCAAACATGTGATCCTCCTGCCTCAGCCTCTTGAGTCATTGGGATTACAGGTCATTCCTGGTCCCCGAGGACATTTCTCACCTGAAAAAATCTTTTGCCAGTCGGAGAGTCTGGAAATGTGAAAAACGTTTTATTTCCCAATTTATCACATCCTGAATCCTCCATACTTACTTTAAATTCTGCTTAAAATTGAATAGATCTTTGGTTTATCTATGTCTTCTTATATCCTACTATATAAAAGTTTTTAAAAACTATTTGACCTCTTCAGTGTTCTAAATGGATATTTCCTTAAGCCAAATCCTCAGGAACATTCATTAAGCTCACTTTCTATTTTCCCAGCTTCTGAGGTGACAGTATTGCCAATAGTTGTACTATAAAATGTGACTTGCCCTTTATCAGCCTCTAGTTTCCTTTCAAGTCACCAGGCTCTGCTAACACTCTAGTTGCTGCCCCTACACCCTCTGCCAGCCTTTCTGACCTAAAGTCAATGTCACAGAGTTGAGATTTTTGTTATAGCAGCATACCGTGCTGGGTATCAATTTTATGTCAGCTTTCATTCCTGAGATTAAACAATATCTTAACAAAATTTATTTCTTGCAACTCTCTGAATTATCATTATCATTATCATTCATCTGATGGTCATGCCTAGGATCATTTATGCACCTGCATATATCTGGGACATCCTTAGGGATTGGGCTCAGCTGTCCCTTCCAGCCACATGGTATTTAATTCCAGGATTCTTCACACTGTTGTGGTTTCTGGGTTCCAGTATGACAAGCCCCAATGTGCAAGTGCTTATCAAGCCTCTGTTTTCATCAACTTTATTTTATGTCATATTAGCCAGAGTAATATGCCCTGAGCCCAATGGTAGGGGAATATATTAGGATGTGAATACTAGGAGGTATGATCCATTAGGATCATTGCTTTAATAATCTCCTACAGTGCCAAAATGTAACTTTCAGGCTTTTTTCTGTATTCCAAATCAAGTATATGTAATGCAGTATTTTGTTCATCCAGGCAAATTTGGAATATATTTGTTAATTGGATTGAGGGTGTGTAGAGTTTTAAAAAAAACACAAAGACCAGAAAAACTAAGACTACTTCAGTCTTGAAATGAAAAACACTATAAAACAAAACTAACCATTAAAAAAAAATGTTTTTTCCAGGAACAGTGGCACATGCCTGCAATCTCAACAACTCCAGAGGCTGAAGCAGGGGGATGACAAGTTCGAAACCAGCTTCAGCAACTTAGTGAGACGTTGTCTCAAAATAAAAAATAAAAAATAAAAAAACTGGGGATGTAGCTCAGTGATAGTATTCCCCTGGAGTCAATCCCCAATACCACATAAAACACGAGTTTTTCTCTCACCATCTTTCTATGTTCCTGTGAAATAAATGTCTTTTCTGACCAAAGGTCTTTAGAGAATCATGAATTTCAAATAAATGACTCCGATTCATCAACCTTGTATCTGTTATGGTCATAGCAATTCAAGAAATAAATTCTGTAGGAATTTGCAAACTTTTCCATCCTAAATAACTGTTTGAACATCTGAATGATCATACAATGAAGATTCTCCCATATTTGCACAAGAGAAAAAAGAATTAAACAGAATTACTGGCATTTCAAACCCAGTATTTGAATTTTGCTAAGATCAAATGTTAGACTTGATTTGTCTTTCCCATTTGAGGATATAGGTAAATTTAGTTTTTCACTAAAATAAAGAGAATCAGGAATGTGTTTTAATGGTCTCAGAGGCTCTCTTCCGATCAGTCATTTTCTCCTGAAGAGGTTGGGGTTTTTCATCAATAGTCGTGGATAATGATGAATGCATTTGATTCATGATATCTTGCCTTCAAGGACTCATAGGCCATAAAACTCTGTGCCAAAAGACACATTCTTCCCTTGCTACCAGTGTGGTTCTAATAATCCAGGTTTGTTTGCACTATTTTCCCCCATGCAGCAGAATATCCAATAAAGGGCAACAAGGGGATTCGCTGAGAACTCAATTTGCATGTGGTGGCTTTTGGTTCTGTTCTGTTTGCTTTCTTGCTATATAATTAACCCTCTGCCTGACTTTCCAGTTCTAGCAAACGATGTTCCTACCCCAACCTAGAGGACAGCAGGAGGAGTTCCAAATCTATTCCCTGGGATCAGAAAGAGCCATTAGTACACTCTTTAAGAGAAACAGTTACTAATCAGCCCTTCCAAATGTATAGATCCTTCTGTGATGATGATCCTGATGATGACGGTAACAATAGCCAGTGCTTATTGATCCCTCATTCTGCCAAGCACTGTTCAAAGCACTTTGTGTGGATTAACTCATTTAATCCTCACAACTCTATGAGGTTGGCACTAGGATTATCTCCACTTTCAAGAGAGAGGCATTAAGGTATAAAGCAATGTGTTCCGGGTAATGTAGTTTTAAATGACAGTGTCAGGATTTGAACCCACCACCAGCTCTTTTGCTTCAAAGATAACTGGTCTCATGCAAACCTCAGAATTCCTCACAGCATTTACAGTCTTGGGACTGCACCCTCAACAGTTAAGTCACAGATGCTCATACATCTTGATATTAGTTATCAAACTTTTTGGGGATTCACATGAATTGTTGATAGGAAGGCAACTTCAGATGCCTCTGGCCAGACACCTATGGCCAGCAACCTCTCAGCCCCTGACCTTCTCCTCTTGGTTGTCTCCCCTTGGACTCTATATTCTCCTGTAACTCAACTAGATGACTACCTGCACCACTATCTCTGCAGATATGTCATGTCGCCCAGTCTTGCAAAGCTGGGACTCTCCTGTGTCGGCACCTTTCCCAGTCACCACCACTACATCCTGCCCCAACACAGAACCAATCAAAACACGTTTCCTGAGGGTCTGCCATACGCCAGGCACTGTGGGAGGTAGAGAAGACAGATCTGCGGAGTGGAAGCTTTCATTTACAACATTCCTGACTCCCAGTTCGAGAGACATGATCGGTTTGGGGGAAACACCAACCTGGAAGTCAGGGGAGAGCAGGGATGTTTTAGAAAAGATTCAGACTAACCCACCTTTATAGTCCCTTCCAACCCCACCCCCACCCTCTTGATTTCTCTCTAAGGCAAGCATTTATTAGTTTGATTTCAACACACACACTTGTACCTGTAATTACTATATAATGTCTGTTTACTTTTTTAAATGAAAATGAATTTAAATTAATCTTGTTTTGTGAATTTCAAGGCACCCCCTGAGATAAATGAAGACACTCCAGGGTGTCATCAAGTGAGTGCTAGGAATCCTTGCTCTCAAAAGTTGAAAAGCAAGTTCATTAAACCTTCCAGGATCCAGAGGGGAGAGATGTATATAGCTATATAGACAGAGAGAGCACATTAAAGGGAGTTTTATATGTACATTATTCATATATATATATAGATATATATATATGCACACATACACACAGATACATTGAAAGGTGGTGTACCAAAACGTGGTTATCTTTAGGTGAATGGTCTCCCCCGTAAATTTACCATCAGGGCCATTAATCTCTAAGTTCTCTGCACCACAGAGAAGATGCTCAGTGCAATAATTCCAAAAATCCCCTTCACCGTTTATTTTGAGTGCCCATAAGAGACACTCATGGGAGATCTCAGAGAAGAAGGTCAAAACAGCATCCAGGTGAATTTCTTGAGAACTCCTCCCATTAGTGATGCAGACTGAGATCATTGGTGAGAAGTCTCCAGAAGTTCTTGAGATTTACAGTAGACTAGCTCCCAGATAAGGCCTTTCAGAGCTCATCATTTAAGCATTGCAGGCTAAGATCACTGCCGGGTTTCTGTTCTCACAACTAAAAGGCTCAGGGGGTCACTCCAGTTGAACTGTGCTAACTGGGCTGTGCAAAATAACCCCACAAGAGACATAAATACCTTTTTCTCTGGGGTCGCTGTGATGGCTCCTCTGACCTTAAGGGTCTGCAGAAAGAGAGAGAGAGCGCAAGAGCACGCACTGACCCCTTTTATTGAGGAGAAGCTATTCAAATGAGGCAAGGGGTCAGGTTTCAGGGGGCTGAGTCTATCTTCATGATGTCCACTGTCAGCAGATTGACTGACACCTGGGTAGGCCACACCCAAGGGCACAGTAAGAGAAGGGGACACACACAAGGCACTTCCATGGAAAATTCTATCCTAAACAGGGCAGGGTGTCATATTACAAAGGAACAGGTGAGCGTAGCTTCACCCATGGGGCTGTAGCAAGACACACCCATGCACCAGACACCGACCCTCGAACCCAAGAAGGGTAGGGAAAGCTCTGCCACTTTTCTGTGACTAAGCACCTCAGCACCCAGCTGGGGAGTATGATTCAGTCACATGCAAGGTTGGTCTCCCACATATCACCTAGGATTTTGCTAAGCAGCACATCCAACAGGTGGACCTCGTGTTTCTATCCTGCTTTCCTCCATACCTGAAAAACACAGAGCACTTCTTTTTTCCTAATTCAATGTCATGGCCTGTGACCAGGCCATGTTTGGGGTGCTACCAATGACCATCAAGAAGAAGAGGAAAAAGAACTGAGGGGTTCCCAGTCTTACCCGAGAATTTCTCAGATGTTGGCGTGCATACAAACCACCTAGAGATCCCTCGGGTCTGGGATGGGCTCTGAGATTTGGCATTTCTCACATGTTTCCACGTGATGCCAATTTTTTTTATGTAAATGTATCTTCATGCTTTTGCAACAAACATACATTATTTGTATAATACAGAAATAAGAGCTTTAAATGTTTTAGATATGTGATAGAATACATGTTCCAATAGCAATACAAAAACAGAATCACAAAACATATATGTTAGAGAGCAGAGAAGTCTTCCTAGAAAAGTGTTTTGGTCCCACAGTGTACCTTGAGGAAGGTGAGATATTTCTGGAAGGTAAAGATAAGCACAGGGGGCTGGGGTTGTGGTTCAGTGGTAGAAAGCTTGCCTAGCACGCATGAGGCACTGGGTTCAATCCTCAGCACCACGTTAAAAAAAAAAATGAAATAAAGATATTGTGTCTCTACCTACAACTAAAAAATAAATATTTTTTTAAAAAGATAAGCATAGGGCAGGTGAAGGGCACTGCATGGGCAAAGGTATGTGATACAGCTCTGTTTATCAGACAACCCTGATATTGCTCAGTGTGATGGGGACATGTATTGTTGCAGAGGAAAGAGATGAGGCTTACGAGAAAAGTAAGACGTCAACCCAGAGGGCTTTGTATGCCAGCCCATAAACACAAACCCATAAGGGTTTTCTCTTAAAGACAATAAGGAGTACAAAAGAATTGGAAAATTAAGATCTGTGCTCTATGAAGTCCGCAGGCTGCACAGAAGAGAAATGGGTAGAGGCCGGAATGGAGGGGACCAGACCAGAGATCCACAGAGGTGAGCAGTCCTGGAGAAATTCTGGAAGGATGGCAACTGGGTGAGAAGGTCAGCTACGGAGCAGAGAGGAGAAGATGGTGTGGCAGGAGGCCGTCTGCGGCTCCTTCCTCTTTCCCCCAAACTGCAGGGAAGATGGAGGCACTTACAATGGAGGACAATGACCAGGGCAGTTTCTGCTATGCCTGGAAAAGGTGGAAAGAGTAGGGAGTGATATTTCGAGCATTCCTCCAGAAAGGAAACCGAGGAACCAAGCCCTTCCTTGGAACAAAAACAGGAAAGGCACATGTACATTTACGCGTGTTTTTCTTGGACATCTCTCTAACCAGTAGGTAGAGCCAATAGATTGTTCTAATCAGGGACGGTCAGGTGTTTCTAATTGTCCTTGGGCTTCCATCCAGGCCAATTAGGTGGTTTTCAGACCTCTCCCTCTACTGATGGGCTCTTCTGCCACAGTCCCGCTCAGCCAAAGCATCTCAGCACCAGAGAGAAGACACCTGGGGATCTCCAGGTCATCAGCTCTGTGACCAGGCCATGTTTGGGGTACTATCAATGACCATCAAGAAGAAGAGGAAAAAGAGCTGTGGGGTTCCCAGTCTTACCGGAGAACTTCTCAGATGTTGGTGTGCATACAAACCACCTGGGGAACACACGGGTCTGGGATGGGCTCTGAGATTTTGCATTTCTCACATGTTCCCACGTGATGCCAATTGTAGATCATACCTCCAAAACACGATTGGGGGAACAGCTAGGAGTCTGGGAAGTTGGCTAAAAGAAACTGACAATCTCTGAGCTTCATTGATTCTGTTTTTGTTTTTGTTTTTCACCTGCACTGGAAAACAAACCTATGTATTCTATTGTTTTAGGGATTAGAAAACTTAAGACAAAGCAAAGAGATGGGAAATAATATGGCGATTTAGGGCTATTTACTATTGTAACCAGCATATTAAAGATAAGAAAATAAAGTCAGTATATAAGGGCATCTGGAAAAGTTTTCTATTGATGCATAACAAATTGCCACAAACAGTGGCTAAAGAAATATCCATTTATTATGTCACAGTCTTGTGGGTAAGAAGTTCAGTTACAGGTTCACTGGATCCTCTGCTTGGGGTCTGAAATCAAAGTGCCAGTTGGGCTGAGACTCATCTGAGCTCAGGATAGCACGAAGAGAAGTAGGAGAGTCCACTGAAACGGTCTTCAGGGCAAAAGTGGCTCTCACCTGAGTGCCACCCCCCATTCTGCTCTCCCCTGCCTTTGTTGAATGGCTTTTCAGAAATCAAAATCTGATCTCCAACTCCTTCCCCATCTTCAGCTCTCATAATGATAACATCTGGTGGAAAGGAGCAGCACCTGACATCCGAGCTTACAGTTTCAGTGCACTCCTGGAATGACTGTAAGTGCCCTCACGGTGAAATTGTGAAAAGTACAAAAAAAAAAAAAATCAACTAGTAATTGTGAGACCTCAGTTATGGAACGTTCTGTAACCATAGACAAATCACACATTATTCAACAAGATAGAAAAAGAGAGAGGGAAACAACAAAAAGCTATCAGTGCCATCTTGTGGAAAGACCTATATTAAAATGCCCAAGGTGATCTGGCCACACCCATCCCATTTCAGAACCTCTACACCCAAGGCCAACGTGCATCCAACAGACGAGGGAGCTCCATTATTCCTTTATAGATACCGTTCTGATAGGTAAAGCCTGTGTTCTAATTGTTCTCTTCCTATTCCATGACCAGTTATTAAATAATCTGTGTATCTTTGCTAACCATATGGAATACCATATAGATCTTTACCTCCAACACCATACACACACAAAAAAAAAAGAAAAGAAGAAAGAAAACTCATACTGAAATTACACTGGTTGGTTCCTCTACATATCGAGGTTTTCCAGATGTGGAAAATTTGCATTGACCCATCACAACACTCCACACAAACACACACAAACATCACACAGGCGCACACACGCCCACACTATGACCATAATTTGCTTATAGTGTAACTCCTTTGGGTTAAATTAAACTTGTCTGTGTTTTATTTCACTTCTTGAGTGTATTGAGATTTATTTCTCTTCTTTCCTTCAAACTGGATATTTTTATCTGCATTAGATACCTATTGCTAATAACAAATTACCCCAAAAATTGATTGCTTAAAACAATAAGTATGTGTTATCTCACCATTTCTGGGAGAAAGGAACTCAGGAAAAGCTTAGCTGAGTGGTTCTGACTCTGGGAATCCATGACATTATAATTGTAAACAAGATGTTGCGCCCATCATCTAAAAATCTTGATGGGGCTAAAGGATCCACTGCTAAAATAGTTAACTCACCATTGACTGTTGGAAAGAAGCTTTGTTCAGCTCCTCGCTGCAGAGATATCTCCACGTCTGCACAACATGGAAGGTGGCTTCCTCCCAAGAGTTTCCTAAGGCAGCTCTTCCCAAGAGAGAACAAGATATAAAAACCAAAGTCTTTTATGACCCAACCTAGGAAGTCATATGCTATTATATCCATGATACCCTACTGGTTACAGAATCTGGCCCTATCCATGTGGGAAACACATGAGATGCTCATTGGGAGCCACCTTTGAGGCTCCATTTCTTCTCCTTAGGTCTAATTTCCAGATCATTTGGGCCCCAGGGAAATGTGTTTAGACACAGAAAAATCAGATCATGCAGAACACAGAATTCTGACTCTAGTCCAAGGTCCACAGGAACCCAGATTGAAGCAATCCTCCACCTTGGACACGGGGTCCTATCTGGAGAAAGGCGGCCTCTGCGTCTAACTTCATCTCAAACCTGTTAGAAATCTGGGGCCTCAACATGAACCAGGACTAGGTCAAAACATTCTTATCAGCTGGTGAAGGGGAAGCTAAGAAAGCCCCAAAACTGTTCCATTGAGCTTTTCAAAGGACAGAGAACAAAATGGGAAATGAAGATCCCATCTTCAGAAGACTTCTGATCTTTCCAACCCAAGCTTATCTTTCCCCCTACTGACTTCTTGTCATGCTTGTTATTTTTACTGCACAATTAGCTTTTTAATATATATTATCTGATTTCCAGATAGTGACAATTGCTTTGATGAGCAAGTTAGTCCTTATTACATGTTCCGGGAATAATTATATCTGAGTCTAAATCCCCTCCCTCCAAGTATGTTGTAAATTCCTTGAAGTCAGAGAAATCACTTAAGCTTATTACTAAACCCATCATCAGTGTCAACAAATTGTTCTCCAGGAATATGTCCCCCAACACATTCACATACACACAGAGACCACAGGCCGTCCCACACATACACACCATGGACCAACGCTTGATTTAAAATAAATTAAATTAAATCAAGAAGGCTTATTTATCCCTTTTTACAAAGTAACTGGTCTCAGCCAGGATCATACTGACATGTTAAAATGCACACCTCAAAGAGGTGCTGCCCGATACTTAACACAGTCCTTGAACTCATGCAATCAAAAGGAACCACGTTGTGCTCGAGACGCACATTCACACTCAGAAATGTACATTCACAGTCTTGCCAATGCATTCTACTTACTTATTTATTCTCATTTGTTATTTAACATTTTTGAGCACTATGTATCAGGCTCCACACTTTATGGGGGAACTAAAAGATGTGTGTGGAAGTTTTGTCTCCTGTGCAAGCAGGTAACCGGCCCCCACCACCAGTGAAATAATACTTACCATCCTGGGACGACCTTTATACAAGACAAGGTGGGATAGAGAGTCTAAACCTTCCTGAGGATCAGGTGACCCTACGCAGAGGAGAGAGGGTAAGAAGGTTGTATTATATATGGGTGTGACATTTATAATACATTGTTAGCTGCAGAGGTCCTGGCCATTAAATGATCAAAGAGCGTTTTCCTTCAAGTTTAAGACTCCCCAGGGCGAAGGAAAAAGTTAATGGGAACCTGACCATGGGACATAGTTCCGACAGGGACTCTGGGATATACCCCTGGGTGTATTGGAAGGAGGAGGAAAGAATTCCTAAACTGGGCGCTAACTGGCCTTTCTGTAGGGAGGCACTGGCAGCTGGGTGGCGGTGTTTCTAGCACCACAAAGAGTCACATAAGATGGAAGGTAATTGTTTGCAGGACAGGGAAAAAGAGAATCTCTGTCCCTCCATCTCCCTCCTCCCCCCCAAAAAATGGCTTTCCTCTGGAGAAGACAGACTTTGAGCTGGATATCAAGGGGGCAAGGAGGGGCACAGGAGCACAGGCCACAGGGGGAAGGAGGAAAATGAATGAATTGGGCAGGCTAGAAAGATTGGTAGGGAGTTTTGTAGGAAATGGGAGTGCAAACAGGAAGGGCTTAATTAGGCCCTGATTGTATGGAAGGAGAGAAAAAGGGGAGATCTGGCAGCTCCTGGAATCTGAGAGAGTGGTTGTCCGGATAAATGGTGAAGTGTATTTTCCACTGAGTCACAGCAAACTTTGAACTTTGGGGAAGGAGACTTCATTTTGCCAGAGCCAGAGGACTAACTGGTCAAATGTGTGTGTCAAGAATAGGTGGGGCAGAGGGCGGGAAGTACATTTCCATGGCCAAGTACCCTGGGCTTGGATCAACATGTCCTTGGCCAAGTTAACCAACGTCTCTAAGTCTCAAGTTATTCATACACAAAGAATATGTACAAATACCGTCCCTGTGTGCTTCTTCCAGAAAGCAACTGGCACAGGACCTGGTTCGTGAGCAAATTAAAAGTGGATTGACTTTTTCATATTTATGGGTAGTCTGCATCATTAGAAGCCCATCATTCAAATGAAAATATAAACTGTTCAAATGCTAGCTGAGATACCATGTTCAGATCTAGGTCACCACCCCATAAGAACAACACTGATAATCTTTGGTTTGCCCAGGGTACCTGGAAACCTTAAAATATGAAGAAATATGGATTCCGAATAAAACTTAAGAAAACCCACAGGTATTTAAACCAGATAATGTTTGGAGGTGTGTTTGGATGGATTATATGAAAAGGACATATTTTCTGCTTCGTTTTAGAAAGCAGTATTATGTTTTTAAATATTCTATACTGGTCATCTTCCTTAATCTCACAGTGACTTTGTTTTCTCATCTGTAAAATTGGGCTGATTAGATCACTTAAAATTGTGGCAACTAAATGAGTTAAGATACCTAAAGCTGAGGAGAGTACTTGTCACATAGTAAATCCTCAATAAATGTTAATTCTTATGTTCCTGGCTGGTGTTATTATTACTATATTGCCCTGGGTAAGATGTCAGAGTGTCACTTGGCAGCCCAGCCACCCTTGAGTTAATTCCCTTTTACTGGGAGAGTTCCAAGAAGTCTCTGACTATGACTCATCAGTCATTGGAGCAGTGAGTCCTCCCCAGACCAGAAGTAGATGTGTCATCTCTTAAACCCTTGAGCATGTGCTGTAAAGAAACTAAGTCCCATGGATGGAACTGGAGCATATCATGCTAAGTGAAATAAACCAGACCCAGAAAATCAAAATTTGAACGTTTTCTCATATGCAGAAGCTAGAGAGAGAAAAGGGGAAGGGGGTTCGGATATAATAAAGATATAGGGAAGATCAGTGGAGTAAAAGGAGATTGAGAGAGAGGGAGGAGGGATGGGAAAAGGGAGAAAATGCAGAATGAATTTGACGAAATTACGCTATGTGCATGTACAAATAAACCACAGTAAATTCCACCTCCATGTGCATCTATAAAGCACCAATCATGAAGGAAAATAGGGAGAGGGAGGAGAAGGAAAGCGGGGAGGGTACGGGGACTGAACGGAGTATATTAAATTCCGAACATGTACGATTTTGTCAAAATGAGCCCAACTATTATATAGAACTATGATGCACTAATAAAAGAAAAATAATCATAATAAAAGGGAAAGTAAGTCGAGGTCGTGTCCTTAAGGAGGCAGGGGCAGGTAGCCAGCGGTGCAGTAACCCCAAAGCACCACCAGGGAGCAGCAGAGCCTGACCCCGGGTTGCTTCATTTACAGAAAGCAATTAATTTGTTCTAGGTTTTCTTCTTTTTATATGCACGTAGTTGTCAATGGATTTTTTAGTTATTTATTTATTTGTGGTGCCGAGGATCGAACCCAGGACCTCACCCCAGGCAAGCGCTCCACCACTGAGCCCCCACCCCAGCCCCCTGATTTTCTCCCTGATCGTCCGAGTTGCGCACGGCTGCAGCCAGCCCGCCGTTGCCGAACACCCAACCGGTCAATGCTCTGCTCCTTCTGGGCCGCTGCGCGGACGGGAGGAGCGGGGTTAGCAGTCCAGCCCCCGCCCCCGCGACTGGGCCAATCCTCCTCCGCAGAGGGGAACGTCACCGGGGGGCGGTGCCCCGCGGACCACGTGGCCCCTCCTGGCGCTAGTTCCCGGCAGGTGGCGGATTACTGGGTCCCTGGAGGGCTCGCGACCAGAGGGCGGAGCCAGAAGGGCCGGCGTAGCCCCTGGTGGCCCGCTGCCCTGTGCCCTTCCCCAGCGATGGGCGTGCAGCCCCCCAACTTTTCCTGGGTGCTCCCGGGCCGGCTGGCGGGGCTGGCGCTGCCGCGGCTCCCCGCCCACTACCAGTTCCTGTTGGACTCGGGCGTGCGGCACTTGGTGTCCCTAACGGAGCGCGGGCCTCCCCACAGCGACAGCTGTCCGGACCTCACGCTGCACCGATTTCGCATCCCAGACTTCTGCCCGCCGGCCCCCGACCAAATCGACCGCTTCGTGAAGATCGTGGACGAGGCCAACGGCCGGGGAGAGGTCAGTGGGGGCAGGGTCAGCGCGGGGAGGGAAGCGGTCTGCTGGGGACGAGGGCGGAGCTAGAGATAAGACCCCGGGGCCAGGAGACTCCCGGCGCAATCAGACAAAAAGCCAGGCTGAGAGGGGCAGGGCCTAAATGGGAGGAGTAAAGAGAGCCAATCGGTGTGAACTGCCCTTGAGGACAGAGAAGTCACCAGGAACCAATCACTCTGGGGAGGGGAGAAGGAGACTGATGAGCCTCCTTGGGATACGTGGGGGTTGAAGCTAGCACCGTTTGCCCTTTTTTAGAACAGTGCTGTCCAAATATAATGAAGACACATCTGTAATTTTAAATGTTTAGCATCCACATTATTAAAATATATTTTTATTTACTGGGTTAATATTACCAAAATTAATTTCATCTGCTATTTATTTATTTATATATTTATTCATTTATTTTGCAGTGCTGCAGATTGAACCCAGATACATTCTACCACTGAGCTACATCTCCAATACTTTATATATATATATATATATATATATATATATATATATATTTTTTTTTTTTTTTTTTTTTTTGAGATCGGATCTAAGTTGCAAAAAAAAATGTTTCCAGCTACTCAGGAGGCCTAAGGCAGGAGGATCTCAAGTTTGAGACCAGCCTTGGCAACTTAGTGAGACGCTGCCTCAATATAAATATTTGAAGGGCTGGGGATATAACTCCGGGATAGAGCACCCCTGGGTTCAATCCCCAATACTGCCAAAAAAATAAAAATAAAAGCAAAATAAAGCAGGTGATATTAATTTTGTTAACATTGACCAGTAAGTCAAAAATATCTCAAAATATAATCGATATAAAAAAATTCATAATATTTCCATTATTTTTCCTGCTGCATCTTTAAACCCTGATATATGTTTTATATCCCATCTCAATTTGGACTGGCCACATTTCAAGTATTCAGTAGCCACCGGTGGCTGGTGGCTTCTGTGTTGGACAACATAGGCAGAGGGGTATAGAGAAGCAGGTAAGGAGCCCATCTCTGGAACCAGCCACTTCAGAGCCACCCAGGTACAAGGACACCCTTCCATAATAACTTTGATGTCTCTTCTTGCTCACAGAGGGTCTGAGACTTAGAGGGAGAAGGGTCCTACTCAGTGGGGGCAGGAAAGTATTGGGGAAGACATCAAGCACCACCCCATAGAGCTCGCTCTTCACAGGCTGTGGCAGTGCACTGTGCCCTGGGATTTGGGCGCACTGGCACCATGCTGGCCTGTTACCTGGTGAAGGAGCGAGGCTTGGCTGCAGGAGATGCCATCGCGGAAGTCCGGCGCCTGCGACCTGGCTCCATCGAGACCTACGAGCAAGAGAAAGCAGTCTTCCAGTTCTACCAGAGAACTAAATAAGGGGTCTCAGCACTCTTCTGCCAGGCCCTGTGTGGAAAATGGGGTCAGAGACAAAGGGAAGTGGTCTAAGTATTGAGCCCTCCGGCTTCCTTTGGCTCCCACTGAACTGAAATCTCCCTTCCTCGAGGCAGGTCCTGATTGACAGGGTGGCTGGGGCCCCATTGAAAGGGGAAGAAGTGTGCTGCTTCCTTGAATAAATAACTTATCAGAACCAGCTCACCCTGCATAGCACTTGACCAAGCGCTCTCACAAATCAACTTATTTGAACTTCATGCTAGCCCTGCAGGGTAAGAAAGGCAAAGATCCCCCCTGTTCTTTGGATGAGGTAGCTAAAGCTCAGGCCCAAGGTCACACTTCTAGAAAGTAGAAGGATGGGCCAGGACTGCAACACACATCTTCTTAAAGATGCTGAAATGCTGTATGTCCATTCCCTGTGATATTGGCTATGGTTTCCAGGGAACTGGTCAATGAAAGGATGCAAATTCCTGGCAGCCCAGCTTCCCAGTATCCCCAGGTCTCTGTCACTCGCAGGCAAGCGCCCTGTTGATGTAACCTCTCGGTCTAGGCCAGCCTGCCCCCCATATGTCAGCTTGGCTCTTCTCAGAGCAAAGCAGGCCTGGATGTCCTATTTATGGATGGTCACTATCTCCATCCCCCCTGGAGTTGGCGTTTTCTGCCAGCCTCGGGTGTTGCTCAGCTACTATGGGACTTATAGCCCATCATGGTGCCCCAACCTCAGGTCAGTGAATGCTAGAACAAGCAGTTTGGGTGAATATGCACAGTGGATATTTGATAAATAAAGAGCTCTGGGGCTATGAATCTTGATCATGTTTCTCAGATGTTATCTTCATTTCTCCTCTTTTGGACCCCATCCTGCTATCAGTGCCACACTTGACTTCTAAGAGATGGGATGAGCAGTATACATTAACCAAATGGACACTTTTTACTATAATATCTGCTTGAACCCCTATTCTCTCTTCTACCCTATTCTCTCTTCTACTGTGGCAGGCTGGACTGAATAAGGTAAAATTCATCATGAAGTACATATGGAGTATCTGCAGGTACCAGGCCCTGTTAGATGTGGAGGCTCCCAGCAGAATGAGGCATGAGTCCTGCTCTCAGAAGCTCTCAGCTCCTGAGAAGATGGGCACAGATAGAGCCCAATCAAAGCAGTTTCTAGATACTAGAAACCATGCCTATTATTTCCAAGTCTGTGAGACATAGGGGAGAGAGTAATCAAGGTCCCCTTCCCCCAGACCCTATCCCTTGTAGCCTAGACTAGAGCAGGACTAAGCCACCTCTCCTCACTATTTCTCCTTCTCAATACCACACACACAACTCAACATTATCCAACACACCCTTGCACAGAAGGTATATCGGCTGAAATCTCACCAAGAGAAAAACTATAAGATGCACACACGCACACGCCAGTTTTCTTCTGTGTGTTAAATCCAAGGGTTTAATTCCTCCACTTTATTTTCTTAGTCTCCACCTTGCCCACCCAGGTGAGGATACCCACCCAAAGAGGAGAAACCCACAGTCCCATGCATTCAGGGTGTAAGGGAGGAAGGAGAAACGGCACTGGCTCCCACCCTCTCCTGCCCCGACAGCATGCTGCATCGTGAGTCTTGATGCAAACCAAAGCCTCCTCTAAAGGGGTGAGTATGGGTGGGTGTGGGTGCTCACAGGCTTGCTTTCCTGTGAAGTTGGCAGAGCAGAAAACGTCATGACTGGTCCTCTTGCTGGACCCCTTTGATCCAATCTGAGATAATCCTCGTCGTCTCTGCCCTCCCTTCCTCTCTGGCTCCATCCTCCCTGCATCATCTGCACTGGAGAGGAATCTGCCCTTCCCTTCCTCCCAAACTGCCTTTGAAGGAGACAGAAAATTTTTCTAACCCCATTAAAGCCCTGTGTGCAGCCTCCCTCCCCATAATTTAAGCAGGTCTCCTCTGCCTCAAGAGTTCCTTAGGGAAATAAACATATAATTATGTGCTTAAGGAAATCGCTTTTTAAATAAGTAAGAGTTGACTCGCGATGAAAAACTCTGCCCTGGAGAGGTTGGCCTGATGCTCCATTTGCACCCATTCCTCCCCCAGATTTCCTTACCTTCTCACACCTCCTCTTCGGTGTTGGTCCACCAGTGAGGGATGACAGATTAGCCATGACCCATCCCCATTTAATCCGGCGCTGAGATGATGGGCATCAGAACCAACCCTCCGCCATCTAAAAAGCCCACTTGTATCGCATCAGACCTGAGTTCCCCAGTCTCAGCACCACTGATAATTGGGGCTAGAAATTCTCTATTGTGGGAAGCTGTGCACTGAAGGATGCCTAGCAGCATTCCTGGCCAGTAACCCACCAGTCATGACAACCAAAGATGTCTCTAGATAGACATGGCCAAATGTTTTCTGGTTGAATAACATCTGCCCCAGTGAGAACCACTGCATCAGACCAATCAGCAGCCGGTGCTGTCATCCGCTGTCCTTTCCTATGGGAGTAGAAGAGGGAGCAGACTCGGGCATCTCTCTGTGGATGCACACGTCTTAGGAGGGGAGAAAGGGTCGACTCAAACACCATTCCCTCTCCAACCACTTCTGGCAGTCATCCGCAGTCCCTCAGCCTTGCCCAGGCCACATTTCCAACATGGTGATAGACACGACTAACTTTCTATATTCAGGAGGGTTCTAGTCTCAATAAACTGCTAGTGAGCATCACTAAGACAACAACACCCACCCCTATTTTCTAAAGTTCCATTCATATTTATCATCTGGTACATGATCATTCAAGGTTCTGTGCTAAATGGAAGTTTTTCTGTCCAGAAATCATTGTTCCTTGTAGGAACAATGGGCTCCATCCTAAATCATTTCTAAGGTTCCTTTCCCAGAAAGCTGTTTATGTACAGAAACAACTGGTGTCAGGATGGGAGGAGAACCAGCCACACCCTTGAGGATTCCACCCGAGCTGGTTCTCCCACCTGTACTTCCCCCACAGGATGCCCCATCTGGGCAGGATGCCCTTGTGCTTCTGGGTTCTTAGTTCTATGACTGCCCCACAGCCCGTGTGTCCCAATGCACAGCCCGAGCACCAAAGGCCAAATAGTGAAACTGCTGTGGGGCAGTTCTGTCACATCCACTATTACCTAATTTAGAGCATGCAGATGTTCTACACCACAGAGGACTAGAGTGGGAACATAGGCCCAATCATACGTGCAGGTGCTTGCCTCCCTGGGAC